TTGAATCCTTTCCAAACCCACTGTAAATAATCTTTTTTTTTTTTTTTTGCTAAAGCGGCTACATTGAATTCTTTTCAAGCCCTGCAGACAACCTGAACAATGCTGACACAAAAAGAGAAAGGCAATATTTATTTGCACAATTCCATCAACGAAAAGTGAGCTGGCTGGGAGGAAAAAGTCAATCCGTTCTGCAGCGAAGTCCAGTTTTACATCATAGCAGTCTCAGTCAAGACTGGTTTTAGGCACAACCTGTAAAATACTACAACAGTAGCATTAAGACAAGCTCATTACAGTTTATAACAGGTTTTTTTGAAAAGGATAATGTGGAGAACTGGACCGTGGAACTTCTCAAAGTGCAAGGCAGTCAAACTAAATTTCTGATCGTCCAGAAATCTAACGTTGACAGATCGCTGACTGGTCCGGCTGGACTGCCCTTGACACTGCACATCCAATGACAGCTGATCTGGCAAAATTAATCTCGATTCTAAAATTAGTCACTCACAACTAGTTCAGAGCTAAAATCTGGCTTGATCTGTACAGTACCTGTCCGGGTTAAGACACAGGCTAAACAGTGAACATTAAAACATGTTCAGATTTGTCTTCTTTCTTTTAAAAATTGTTTATGCTCTAGAAAAACAAGGCTTTGCACAAATACTGTTTAAATCATCAACAATGGGAACAATAGTCCTTCAGTTTCTGGTTAGTTGATCATCTTCACTTGTCTTTTTACCAGCACAGTTTGGGCTTTAACACTTGGGATGCTGTAGAAGACAATACTTCACAAAACTGTTTTTACAGGGAACAAACAGTGACTTTTTAATTTCCAGCCATTTTTTCATGACTGTGTCCCAGAATACTGTTCTAGCTTTCCAAGTCTGTAAACTAAGGGAATATGTGAGGGTCTGGGCTTCATATTCAGGTTCAGATCTTACAGACTTTACCCCATCCCCACTTAATGAGATGTGTAGTACCTCCTCTGTGGCATGAGTACTGTAATTCTCTGGTCTGCCCAGATGAGTAGCTCCCCTAGCCATGCCTAGCCAAGTCCTGAGAGTCAGGATCTCTGGATGCATTGGGAGTGAGAGGAGCATTGAGGTCACTGGTACAGGAGGACGCAGCAGGGTTAGAAAAGAAGCATCTATCTGCACTTCTACGACTGTTTGAGGCGTTTTCTGAGGGGACCCAGGAAGGGGCACTGGGCTGAGGCCAGAGAGTGATAGGCCTCTGCTACCAGGTGAGGGTGAGAGACCACCATGGACTTCCAACCTGTCGTCTCCATCACGTCAGCTGCATGGCTGTGAGAAAGGAGGCAAAGAGAGGAGATGCAAAGTAAAAACAAAGTGAGAAAATGTTCAAACAAAAATGGAAAAGCAAATAAAACAAGTGCATAAATAAACCAGTTTCTCGAGAGTCTGGGCTTAAATGACTCCATCTGTGTGGAGTGCAGCTCTGAGACGTTAAGGATTTGTCATACCAGCTGGCAGAGCTGGTGTTTACTTTATATTTTTAAATATTTAACCCCAAAGGTCATTTTTGTGAGGAAAAACATCACACAAATATGAAGGCAACACTCAAACATCATAAATATGTGGGCATGTGATGAAAAAATCTGAGTCATAGTTTTATATCATATCCTTTAATGGGCTGGTTCCCAACCATTTTGGCTTGTGAAACATTGTGGCCAACACCAACTTCAACCGCTCGTCACACAGTACATATGGCCATGACTTGTAAGCACTTCAACCACTGAATGTCCATTTCAGACACTACTCGGCAACAAATAATGCATTAAAAATTGTGCCATCTCAACCAGCTAGTACGGCGTAAAAAATATTTAATCCTTTTGTACGTTTTGTCAAGACTAAGCATGCCATGTAATTTGGGTTCATTCAATTCTGAATGCAGAACTTTTACTTGAACCTGAGTATTTTTACATTGCAGTATATCTGCTTTTATTTGAGTACACAGTATATATCTGAATAAGCTACTTCAATCTGAACAGCAAGAATTGATGTCAGTTAAAATCTTTATATTGTGATATCGTGAAATCGATGAATGGTCAAGTTGCACAGCGCTCTGGTTTCCCTCTGGCTTTCAAATCAAGACCTTCAGCAATACTGAACTAAAGGAAGCTAGAAACCCAAATCCAAGTTGGGTAAATCTTGTAATTACTGGTAAGCTGTTCTTGTGGTCATCATTTCCCACATGTCAGCTTTGCACCAGCAGACCCTGTGGCAGTCTTCACCCTCCTGACACCCTCAGGGTGCTGGGCTACACTATCACGCACACTGCTGTGTGGCCTTTAATGACATTTTTCATGTTTTACCGTGCATATATAAACAACTGTGTGTGTGTGTGTGTGTATGCACTTGTGTTTGTGAAATGGCACGCCGTTTTGTGGTGCTCTGGTGTGTGGTCATATGCTGTCCACAAGCAGCTCCCAGACCTCCAGCCAACCTCTGACCCTATTCTTTGTGGAGGAAGTGAACCCCTGCTTACAGTAATGACTGACGTGCCGAGGCAGAGGCAACAGGCCAGCGAAAGGGCACGAGAAGAGCAGCCACAGCAGGAGAGGAGGGAGGAGCGGTGGACCAAGTGAGGAAAGGAAGCAACAACTGCAGTGACAATAAATAAATAAGTTAAAAAAACAGCAAGGTGAGGAAGAATAATGAAAGTCCACAAAGAAAGAACGAAGGGGAGCGAGGGAGAGGGGAAGAGCAGTGACGTGAAGGAAAATTAAAAGAAGACAAACCATGACCTCCAGTCAGCAGTAATCATAAGGCAAAGCACAGCTTTTATCAACAGAAAAACAGACCCTAGCTTCATTACTCATGTCACATTTTCACCACTTACTGTGATTTATTCTCCAAATTTACTCAGGCCTAAAGTTTCATGTTAGGCTAAAAAAGTGGCTAAGCTCTGTTCTATAAACAAAGTGGATAAAGAGAGTCTGGGTGGCTTTACTCTGCCACATCCCCAGAGAAGATGAATAAATGAGACAGAGGTACTGTAGGATAAAGATGACTCCTATTGTTTTGACCAAATGACTGTAAGCTCTTCGAAAAGACTGGTCTGGAGAGAGGTTGAGGTGCTACTAGGGGGAGGATTATTGGTTCCTCCGTGTCGTCTGTTTTCTATATTCGGCCTCTAAATTGATTTTGTTCTGTTGCTCTTGTTGCTGTCGATTGTGTCCGCAGGAGGAGGCTTGATAATGCTTTGCTGGCCAGGAGTCCCCCGTGTCCAATTTTCCTACCACCACAACAACACTGTTGCAAATTAAACTGTCATAACGCCTGTAACCACAATTAATGACTGGGATTAGGGGCAGAAATCTGCATTATTGAACATACATGCATTAGGCACACATAAGCTCTTATGCACAAAACAGGAGAGAAGGGAGAAAAGGGACAAACGGGAGGGAGGTGGGAGTGAACGAAGGAGGGAGAGACATGTAGTCCATGCAGGAACAAGGCCGAGTGATGGAGTAAAGCTGTGAAGAGAGGACAGAGAACTGAACAAAAGGATGGAAAAGGTTTCTCGGGGGAAGGTGACAAGCAATTTAGGTAGTGACTGTGAGAAAACTTTCTGTATCAATTGGGCATTGAAATGCTGGGTCGATCACCTTTCTGTGGACATAAATAGCAGTCGTTGCTAATGGACCCCATCTTTTCTAAACAGGTTGCCTGCAACATGATTAACATCAGCAGCCAAGGTTTATTGCTAAATGGCCCAATGTGATATGGCAGCAAAATGGTCTGATCTGGGGATTAGATTAAATTTCCTCAGGAGACAAAAATTGCTCCTCCTGAAAATTAATGACTTCCTTTGACAAAAAGCTAAAATGTACGAGTGTGGGTGTGTCCATGTGTGTGTAACACGAGAAGCAAAGATTGTGTATAAGTGTGCAAGTAATTCTGGAGATGGATGATCTCTGTGCAAGTGTGTAACACACTAGTTGATGAAGTCCACAGCCTGCGTCTTGAGCTGGTCGGCACTGTGCAGGTCAGCAAGGATGAGGATTTCTGCGGCGTTTTCCACAGACAGACTTGTGCACAGAGCGTCTTCACACATCACCTTCAGCCTCTCGAGAGCATACTGCCAATGACAGAGAGAGCAAGAGAGAGAGGGGGAAGAAACAGCAGGTAAACTAAATTACTTAAACAGCGCTGTCACCAACAACTGTTGTCGCACTGTGTAATGACATGGAAACACAGAATTACTAAACTGCAGCAGCAACAAGGTTGAGATTGAATAAGGACAAAAAAATATGGCCAACGGAGAGAAAAGCGACAGTTATGCAGACTGAGGAGAAGTGATGATGGGAGAGGTAAAAATAATTTCCACTGAGTTTGACTACAAAATCTTTTAGGAACAACAGTCTTCTCTCATATTCACACATGCTTAAGGATTAGTTGTTCAGC